ATGATAGCTTGACCGTCTAATATCTCATATGAAAAATTGTATTTGTTCACATAGTATGACTCAAATCGACCCGTCTAATGTTTAGACACCAAAATTTTGTACTAGCATAGAAAAGTATGGAAAAACACCACAAACCTAAAATTAATGACCGTTTGAGAAGTTGGCTCCATCCCAAAAGAAACCCTTAAATGCATATAGTTTGGCACCCTCCCCCAATTCAATCCACCTGCTCCCCCATCAATGCCTTATCTCTCTAGCCTTTGCCCACTAGAAAACACTGATATAAGTAGGCGTATGTACGCCCATTTCTCGTATGAATGCCGTGCGGCGAAAAGGGTCACAAGAAATTGGGGCCCCAGAAACAAATTTGATGTGAACAGTACATTCTACACAAAGCTGCATGTCAATTTGCTCATGCCTTTTTGTTTGATGGGATATCTTTGAAGGGTTGTTGATATATTTGACTTGGATTCTTTCTTTTTTTGATAATTGACAAGTAAAGGTCGGTGCTTTTTCTGGAATTTGTTTTAATTTGTTTCTTGTTTTCGCATTCTTATCTGCTTGGTAGATGAACTAACTCTGACGGAGTGTACAATGTCGTTAATTGTGATGTATATAATGAAGTCTTGCAATGAAGAAATTCTTATCCTATCGGGCTTCTACTGCTGCATAGTAATGTGTGGTGTTTATATAATTTCATGATCAGTTAATTAGTTCGGATTTAGGTGAAATTTCAGCTAGAAAAGATTTTGCTGAGATTATTAGTGCAGTTAGATCCAGAAAAGGAAGATCTTTCTGTTTGACATAGGGAAAGAAGCCGAGCAAAAACCCACAAGTGAAAGCTCTATATAGTTACAAATCTTTGTGTTTAGTATCAAATGGGAGTCTAGATCTTTCTGTGAGAAAAGGGGAAAGAAGTCGAGCAAAAACCCGAAACTGAAGCTCTATATAGTTACAAATCTTTGTTTCTAGTATCAAATGGGAGTCTAGATTTGAAGTTCTATATCTTTTTGTGCTTGCTGTGATTCCTTATTTTATAGTTAGTGTGAACTTAAAGATACTTAATCAGTTACCACTAAATTATTGTCATTGTACATTTCCAGATATTCGTTTGTTGGTTGCTGGCTCTTAATTTTTCCCTGGAAAAAAAGATGGTTGGGAGTATTGAGACCCTAAGCAACAACTCGTACTCAAATGGGTCCGCACAAAACCCGAATGGTTTTGAAGAAAAGCTAGACGAGCTCCGGAAATTCATCGGCAAATCTGAAGGCGACCTTTTGAAGATCGTCGGTGTTGGGGCAGGCGCGTGGGGCAGCGTGTTCACAGCATTGCTCCAGGACAGCTACGGCCCATTTCGCGATAAGGCCCAGATCCGGATATGGCGAAGGCCCGGCAGGGCTGTGGACCGGGCCACAGCCGAGCACCTGTTCGAAGTGATCAACTCGAGAGAAGATGTGCTGAGAAGACTTATAAGGCGGTGCGCGTACCTAAAATATGTCGAGGCCCGTTTAGGTGACCGGGTTCTTTATGCAGATGAGATCTTGAAAGACGGGTTTTGTCTGAACATGATTGATACCCCTCTTTGCCCGATGAAGGTCGTGACTAATTTACAGGAGGCTGTTTGGGATGCTGATATTGTGATAAATGGGCTGCCCTCGACCGAAACCCGGGAGGTTTTTGAGGAGATTAGAAAGTATTGGAAGGAGAGGATCACGAGCCCGATTATCATATCGTTGGCTAAGGGTATAGAGGCTGAGTTGGGCCCGAGCCCTCGTATAATTACGCCCACGCAAATGATTAATCAAGCAAGTAAGGATGTTTTCCTTTTTCCCCTGATTATTGTTTGGAGCTTTTACATTTTATTTGATCCGTACTAATATTAGAATTGAAAGGTTGAATTTCTGAGTCCATTGCAAATGGAGCTAGAAGAGTCAATGTTGACAATTCTTCTAGCATCGTGCAAATAATGGACTAGATCAAAATGACTCAATTAAATTCTAGTGCTTCTTCTATGAGTGAAGTTTCTAGAAAAAATATGTCAAACGACGCAACGCACCTTGGGTCGCTATGGAAACAGCCTCCTTGTATAATTATAAGGGTAAGGTCTGCGTACAACTGACCCCCCAGACCCCAACCTGTTTGGGAATATACTGGGTATGTTGATGTTGATATTGATGTGAAAGGTTGGATTTCTGTTTAAATCTGCATCAGGTTGATATTTTGGATTTGTTGGCAAAGATTTCCTTTGAGGTTTAGCCTTGTTAAATCAAGACTTCAATTTTCTTTAAAATTAAAAAATATCCTCCTCGACGACACTTGAGGGGTGCAACTTGTAAAATAGAAACACATGTGAAAAGGGCACTTGAATCTTTCAGGATTAGGCTACAACTCAAAGGGTAATTTAATCGGTATTGAAAAGTCTGAATATTTCATGTCACATTGTTAATTTTAACACTGCATCCTTCACACCTCTGTAGCTTTGAAATGTTTATTACTTCTGAATTAGAAACTTCACGGTTTCTTTCGTAATAATTATAAACTTCATTGCCTTTGTTTTCATGAATACTTTTTTTTTGTGCTTTCACTTGCAGCTGGAGTGCCTATAGAGAACATTTTGTATCTTGGTGGGCCCAATATTGCTTCAGAGATATACAACAGAGAGTATGCAAATGCTCGAATATGTGGAGCCGAAAAATGGAGACTCCCTCTTGCAAAGTTCTTAAGGCAGCCTCAGTTCATTGTATGGGATAACAGTGACCTTGTAACACACGAAGTCATGGGAGGCTTGAAAAATGTCTATGCTATTGGAGCTGGTAACTTTTGCAATGATTCGGGTTTTGAAAAGATGACTCGGGTTTATTTATTATTTTTATTTTGGTAATTTTTTATTTATAATTATCCGTATTCAGGCATGGTGGCAGCTCTAACTAATGAAAGTGCCACTGGAAAATCGGTATATTTCGCACACTGCACATCAGAAATGATATTTATTACTCACTTGTTAACCAAAGAACCCGAAAAGCTTGCCGGGCCTTTGCTTGCTGACACATACGTAACTCTGTTAAAAGGCCGTAATGCATGGTACGGCCAGATGATAGCTAAAGGACAACTGAGCCTCGATATGGGTGATAGCATTAGCGGCAAAGGAACTATTCAGGTTCATCTTTTGAAAAAACCCTTCAAAAATTTATGCCTAGAATTTTTTTTTACTGTCGTGTAACTATTGCGAAGTTTTATTAATTACTGTGTCATAATAAATAATTTAAAATATTTTCAGGGTGTTTCTGCTATTGAAGCATTTTACGAGCTTCTAAGCCAAGATAGTTTGAATGTATTGCACCCTGATGCCAACAAGCCAGTAGCCCCAGTCGAGCTGTGCCCGATCCTGAAGATATTGTATAAAATTCTCATCACCAGGTACAGTTTCTTTTTTCTTTTTTCAATACAATATACTACATGTAGGTAAAAAATAGCAACTAGATGAAGCTAATGGAAATTGCTGACTTAAAAAAAAAAAAAATAAAAATAAAAAATCGGGCTATTTTGACAAGTCGAGGTGTGTAACTGTTTGAATATTTGACGATATTTGTTTGCCAACATGTGTGGCAAAAGTATAAGATGAAGTTGAATTCCAATGGTGGTTTTCATACGGATTCAAATCGATGACATTCGATCTGTCTCCTCTGCAATTACGATGAGATACACATTATGATCTCTCTCTCTCTCTCTCTCTCTCTCTCTCTCTCTCTCTCTCTCTCTCTCTCTCTCTCTGTGTGTCTGTCTGCAGAGAACAAGGACCTCAAGCAATACTTCAAGCACTCAGGGATGAGAATTTGAACGATCCACGGGACAGAATCGAGATTGCACAAACTCATGCATTCTTTAGGCCTTCACTTCTTGGGCACCCTTAAATGAGTAAAAAAATAAAAAGGGGTATTTGATATTTGATGATGGTCAAGTTGAAGGATATGACTTAAACCAAGAGAGATATATCTTCTTCTATGGATGATATTTTTTTTCTTAAACATTACTTGTTACATACCTTCGTGAGGACAATGTTGCATGGGAATTTGCATCATTTGACATTTGGATTATTAAATTATTCATATATTTGGCACATTTGAATTCTTTAAATTCTTGCTGAAAATATGTAAGAGGATAGAAAAATTCTCCCTACAACTTTTCCTTTTCAATCCCTATATGTGCTTAGGTATATTTATATATATTTTCAAGGGCTACTTCGATTGTATGTGCGGATATGTGTTGATCGAACGACTCGAAGATCGGATATGTGTTGATCGAACGACTCGAAAATCGGATATGTGTTGGTCGAACGACTCGAAATTCGGTGTGGGTAAGGTGAAATTCACCATTTTTATGAGATGATTAGAACTTTCATGGTGTTCAAATGATGGTTTTAGTTATTATACCTCAAAGAGGATATAAGTCTTGGTCAACTACCTAAAATATTATGTAAGTTGGTCAAATTCAGAATATGAAATATAATATAAAATTGAAAATGTGTGTGTATGCAAAGTCAACATCAATTGTTGGCGTTGACTATTGCATGTGAGGTGGCCATGTGTGTTCTGATGGGCGCGCAGACGCGTAGCCGACGACCAATGATGAATTTACAAGTTTAACCCCCCGTGTTCTCTAAAATGACAACTCTATATAATTCTTTTATTGTACAATTATAATTACTTAATAAAATTATTTTGGAGTTGAACAACTCCATTAAATTAAATTGTCTTTATTACTTTATCTTATACGCGTTAATTTGTTGGTTGTGGATAAGAACAACGATAATTGTTTGAATGTTCGTTTAATTTAGATGCAATAAGTCATTGAAGTTTATTTTTGAGAAAATAAGAAATTAAATTGTGAGACAAAACTACTCATTTGAAAAAAAAAAAAACATTTATTTTTTATTTTATATAAATTTTGAACAAAATGACATCATGAAGTCGAGCCAAACATATTCGATAACTCACAAATTGTATTCACAAACAATTTTTTTACGACTTTGAGTTGGTAAAACGAACAGAACATTACCGACTCATTCATTATGTAATCACTAGCTCGAACAGGAAGTGCTCGGCTCCACTCGACTAGACTACTATAAGATGCCCGTAAATTTTTAAAATGAAAAAGGAAATTAAAAATAACTTGTGAATTATTCCACGAGTGTCAAAGTTGGTAATTACCAACCAATCACAGGCCCAAATCCATAACCACTGACCCTATAAACTACGCTATTTCCACTCACAAAATTACTCCGCGCACTCCAATCTCGAGCTACAACCATCATGTCGAACTACCCTCCGACACCTCCCGGCTACCCGTACAACGCGCCGCAGCCTTCCCAACCCCACGGCGGCCCCCCGCCTACTTCGCAGCCATACCCCGCCGGATCCTACGGCGGTCCGCCTTCCGGCCCGCCGCCTCACAACCAACCCTCGCCGTACTCGGCCCCTCCCGGCGCGCCGTACTCAGCCCCTCCCGGCGCGCCGTACTCGACCCCTCCCGGCGCGCCGTACTCGGCCCCTCCCGGCGCACCGTACTCGGCCCCGCCAGGACCGCAGCACCAGCACTACGGCGGATACCCGACGCCGCCGCCGCCGTCTGCGCCGTACGGGGCTCCCTTCGCGCCGCCCCCGCCCTCGGCCTTTCCTCCCGGCACAGATCCCAACGTGATCGCGTACTTCCAGATGGCCGATCAGGACGGCAGTGGGTTTATTGACGATAAGGAGCTCCAGCGCGTCCTGTCGTCGTATAACGAGAGCTTCGGGATGAGGACCGTTCATCTGCTCATGTACCTTTTCACCAACAGCAACGTGAGGAAGATAGGTATTGGGAATTTTTATACCAGCAATCGTGTTCTCTTTTGGTCGAATTTGTGATTCGTGAATCATTGAGGTTGATAATTTTCCCCAATCCGCGAATTTATGAACAGTCATTAGTAGCTGCATAATCTTTACTATTGATTTGGATGTTATCTATTGGAGAACAAACAATTGTGGTATTGAAAAGGAGGAAAAAGAAAGAGTGAAATCTTTCCAAAATTATGAGGTTTCTGAAGTCACTTTGCTGCTAGAAAATTACTCTGCTCTGCCAAAACAACTGAATGCAGCTTTTCATTATCTATTTTTCGAGTTACAGAAACCATAGACCAGAAAACCAAAGACTCTGTAGTGATTTAGCTGCTGCAATTTCTGTTGCTTTGTGCTGTAAATTTGCAGTGTTCATTATAGAGAGGGATTAATCAAACCCCATGTGCTCAAAGGAATGAGATGAGCACAGTATTTACTTTCTTGCAAGAATATTTATCTGGATTATATATTATATGTAGTTTGATGGCCTACCGATCGATAATTGACTCAAATCAACTCAGCTTTGTAGTACATTTTACATTTTTACTTCTGGGTTTGGGAGATTTTCTCGTATTTGGTTTACCATATCTCTGTTTACTTCTTTTGTATCTTTGAGATCTTGGGATGATATTTCTCAATGAAGTGAATGTACTGCAGGACTGTATTTATGATAAAACTTTTATGTAACATTGAGATTTGTATATATGTTACAGGTCCAAATGAATTCACTCAAGTCTATTACTGTCTTCAGAACTGGAGGGTTAGTCATTACACTCTATTTTGCAGCAGATCTTATGCACTCATTCAGACTCGTATATACGAAGTTTATCCTTTCCTCTTTGTCAGGCGATTTTTATCTTATTTCTTTTTCATCATTTAGGCAATGTTTGAGAGATTTGATAGAGACAGAAGTGGCAAGATTGATTCATCAGAATTGAGAGATGCTCTACTTAATATTGGATTCTCAGTGTCCCCAGTTGTTCTTGATCTGCTCGTCTCCAAGTTCGATAAAACTGGTGGCAAGAACAAGGCAATTGGATACGACAATTTCATAGAGTAGGCCAACTTTCTTGTTATCGTTTTTTCTGTTCTCTTCTTTTTTTTTTTCATCATTTTAAATGTTCATATTATACTAATCCTTACACATTTCCTCCCCCATCTTTTTTCTCCTTCAACAGGTGCTGTCTCACAGTTAAGGTAAAGCCTGACATAAATATTCTTTTTTTCTCATTCTATCTTTTCTACTTTTCACTGCTCAAAATTTTTTGGTTCGGAGTTTCGATCTTCATTTGGCACGAGTTCTATTTTAAGATATTTGAATCTTTATGATGAATAATTCTTCGTTTGCAGGGACTAACCGAGAAATTCAAAGAGAAGGACACGTCTTTGACTGGTTCAGCGACTTTCAGTTACGAAACATTCATGCTTACGGTATTGCCTTTCCTCATAGCATAAGGATGAGAAAATGTAGCTGGTGTTTGCTTTCTTTATTATGATGTTTTGTTGCCTTTTATTTGTTGGGATCCTTTGTTTCACTTGTTTTAAGGTGTTTCTTGTTTTCAAGTAATGTGCATCTTATTTTCTGCTGTAAACTTGGATAGCTTCATAGTTGTGGTCCTTTTGTTATAATGCTAAAATTAGAAAAAAATGTCACTTTATTTATTTATTTATTTTTCTAAAAAGTACAATTATTTTATGATGCCACTTTTTTTTTTTTGAAAAAAATATTGTCCATCACATATAATTACTGCGAAAAAATCAGAGAAAATGTCTTGGTTGAAGCAGATATACAGGTCTCCCATTCAGTGCCTGAATTGGCCTCGCGTTTCCTGTATTTCCCTGAGAAATAATCATCAATTTTATTACGATGCTTTTTGTAACATAAATATGCATTTTTCATAGGATATACTTATGGTTAGACGGTAATATTTATACATAAATATGCATTTTTCATAAATATTTATTCGATAGACAGTACATACTTTCGAACTTAAATGCCGTATTCTAAAAAAACAACATAAACTTATACATATGCATAAGAGAATGACAGGTCTTTATATAAGAATTTGCGTTTATGAAAACTATAATTTACCTCAAAATTTAACCCCACATAAGAATATTAACTAAATGTTTTGTTGTTAAAGAATGAAGAATTTCTTTCCTTTTTTTTTTATTAATTTGCTAATATCTGAAATGTTTTTTCTAATACAATTAATTCATAGCAACTTATGTGCACTTACATCATTAACTGCATCCCTTAGTGCCCTTATTTGTTGTGCTGAGGCTGTTCTTACCTGCAAGATTCGAAGTAGTAGAATGGTAATAAAAGGTTAAAAGTAAATTGAAGAAACAATTTATTATTCAAATTAATTAAAATATTTAATTAAAACAATTAAAACATGTAACTATATCAAAATCTTTCAATTTTTTAATACTTTTTCTTCACAATAACCAATATTTGAATTAAAAAATGTTGTCACTCACCATCTTAAATATTGTCCAAGTGATATTTTCTGAGCATGGAGGAGTTGTAAGGGAGCCATTATATCTGTAATATTCTGGTTTGGCTGCAAAATTTATACTCCTTGGATCAACTGTCCCAATATTAGTTCCTTCTCTATTAGTTGACTTTAGATATGGAGTAATCTGGAAAAATTGAAATTGCCAATATTATTATCATGATTATTGATTAATAAGTAGGGGTGAGCAAAACCGAGCCGAAACCGAAAAACCGAACCGAACCGATGAAATGATTAAAACAAGGATTATTAATTTACCCTTGAGAGGAAATAATCAGGCCATCCTATCTTGTACAGGATGCCAATTACAGCAATATCTCCTGCAGAATTGTTGTGAACAATGTGCTGCTCCATATTGAATCTTGCAAAACAAATTAAATTTATTTAATTTTTTTCGTAAATTTTTATATGGAAATTGCGAATCTCGTCATAATATATAGTTTGACAATATATCTACAAGAAATGCTACAGTCTCGTTACGGAATCATTCTGTCGGGATTTGTAACCGTTAGATCATCATGTAACTGTCGTGGATAGTTGATCTTACAAACTCCGACGGAATTGTTTATCTACACACACCACACACCAGTTATTAGTTTGACAATAGAAACAGCTATTAGTTTGACAATATATCTACACACACCAAACAAAAATGGCTATAGACTCAATTATACTAAACCAAAATGCAATTTTCTCATTTGTGATTAAATGTTTACTGACCTAACTCCATTTAATGTGTGCTCAGAAGGAATATGCCAATGGCATTGTAGTAATTTAAACCCACTCCCCTTAATGAAGATCCCACCAGCATCACCTGTCCATTCTACCTGGAAATTAAAATAATTATTATGAATTACAACACAAAAAACTAAATTATACGTACTATTTTCGCGTAGTATAATAACTCGACCCGTCTAACGGGTAAGTCAGGGTCACGACAACGTCGACAAGCTCACCTCTATAGAGTGTCCCTTGTTTCTAATTCTAGCTTGAGCCGGTTTATAATCTACTCTTAAATCACCAAATGAGGACCGATTAATCACTGTGTAATCAACAATGTTAGCTGGGGACTGGCTTTGTCCGGTTGCACATAGAGTCCAATTCGGGTGCAAATTGCCCCAGTTTTGTGGCCCATTTTCAGCTCCCAAGTCATAGGAAAATGGAGATTCATCCTCTGTTTTAACAAAAATAATAATTATGCTATGAAATGTCATAATTTTATTTGCATTATGTTTACAAAATCAATGCATATCTCGTTGTTTGATCCAACGGTTTCGATTATTCGTATGTAACCGTGATATGTTAATCGCAGATTAATTGTGCATATATAATAGATAAAAAAAAATAAAAAAAATATCAATAATTCAAAAGGAATATCAATATAAATGTTTTGTCATCTTACCTACTTCAAGTGCATTGGAGTCTACGGTGGATAGAAGAGAAGATAGTAGCAAACACCCAAACAAAATGTGAGGGAAAATGTAAATATTGAAACTCATGATGCCAAACTTTTTGTTTGTGATGAGGGAGACAATATATATATATATGGATTGATTCCAATGCATCCACATTCTTAAAGTGAGGACATGAGGCTCATTTCTAGCCACAAGATTTGGTACATAATGTGTGGCCAAGATTTAATCTTTTCTTTTTATTATTTTAATTATTTAAATATTACTTTGACCCGTTGACTTCGGCGTTGACCGTTGACTTCCGGTGAAAATTCGTTGACTTCCGGCATTGACCGTTGACAACTAAACTTGCAATTAAATATAAATAACCTAGCATGCTATGTTAATTGTCTGATGGTGCAGGTTAGTTGTATGATTGTGCTAGGTTAGTTGTATGATTGTGCTAGGTTAGTAGTTGATATGTTAGTTGTATGATTGTGCTAGGATAGTTATCTGATGGTGCTAGGTTAGTTATCTGATGGTGCTAGGTTAGTTTTCTGATGGTGCTAGGTTAGTTATGATTGTGCTAGGTTAGTTGTCTGATGGTGCTAGGTTAGTAGTTTGCTAGGTTAGTTTTCTGATGGTGCTAGGTTAGTTGTATGATTGTGCTAGGTTAGTTGTATGATTGTGTTATTTAGTTGTCTGATGGTGCTAGGTTAGTAGTTGCTATGTTAGTTTTCTGGTTGTGTTAGGTTAGTTGTCTGATTGTGCTAGGTTAGTTGTCTAATTGTGCTGGGTTAGTTGTCTGATTATGCGATGTTAGTTGTCTGATTGTGCTATGTTAGTAGTTGCTAGGTTAGTTGTCTGATGGTACTAGGTTAGTTGTCTGATTCTATTAGTTTAGTTGGCTGATGGTACTAGGTTAGTTATTTGTAGTTGGAACTACATGATAAAAATTTGCAAGTCACATAGTAAAACTTTGAAAGGCCATAACTTTGCGTAGAAAGCTCCGTTTTGGACGATTTTTTTTTTTATTTGGGGTAGCTCGACGAGATCTACGCAGTTGCAAACTGCGGCCGCCCAAATTTTCAAAAAAGGCCTTTTATTGCTTTAATTTTATTTTTAAGAAAAAAAATAAGTTTTTTGTATTTTTAAACATCTATATCTCCCCAATTGAGACTCATTTTTCGAAGTTTTTTTTCATAACAATGCTCTCAACCTCTATTTTATGTACCAATTGGAAAAAAAATTAGAAAATGCATAGTCTCTGTAGTTGCTAGGTTAGTTGTCCGATGATGCTATGTTAGTTGTCTAATTGTGCTAGGTTAGTTGTTTGATTGTGCTAGGTTAGTGTCCGCATTTTAAGAGCTGGCCTCATTTGATTTGCCCTATATATATATATATATATATATAACCTTTGGTGAGATATGATCAGAAATTCTATGGTGCCACATGTGGTGCCATAGAATTTCTGGAGATATGATACATTAAACTTACAAATATGCAAGCACATATATAGAGTAACAGCATGAAATTGTTACGTATTAATAAGTCAAATTAAAATTTTAATTTTGAGTACAAGTTTGCTTGGTAATTCAAAGGGTATTAATGATTTTATTTGAATATGTTGTTACCAACTATATCAGCTGATAAAATGGCGATACGAATCAAGTTCGTATTTCGACAATTTATGTTGAGTTGAAATTGACGATTTAGGTGTTGAGAGGCGAGAGTTCGACACTTTTCTTATTATGTGTAAAATAAATTAAGATTAATGAAGCACGAAAAATATTCCGTCGCAGGTAATTATTGTTCCGATCCATATTTTTGTTACTATTGTAGAACTAGTAACTAATTGTTTAGACTAAATGATTGTGTTAATATAGTTGATTAATAAGATAATTGTGAACACAAATTAATAGTAAAGTATTGTTTATTCAAAAGTTTTGTTATCGTTTTAAGAAATGGATTCAAATAAAATAAATTAAAAAAGGAATTAAAACGAATAAATAAATTATAAAAAAAGGAATTAAAACGAAATACCAGAATCGAAGTAAAAGGAAAAGAAAAAAAAGCCCCCATGCAGGATCGAACTACAGACCTTCAGTTTACAAGACTGACGCTCTACCACTGAGCTATAGGGGCTCTTCAAAAAGATTTTTCCAAAATATTATAAATAAGAATGTTACTATCCATTATTTAACTGATTATTAGTTGACCAAATACATTTTCTGTTTACTTTCTTTTATTTAAGGTACATACTACCTAGTTCCATAAATCTCATTTACCAAAATTTGGCACGCTAGGACTACTTGGCTGCACTAGCGACGTCTAGTTCTGGAGGTTTTCATCGACTTAAGTTCCCGCCCGCTGGATTAAAGCCATGGCTGGAACACGACTTGCTTGGTGTGGCATACCCACGTAGGATAGCTCATTAGCTTCCTCCTCCCTCTTTAGTACCAAAAAAAAAAAAAAATTTGGCACGCTAGTAATACTACTATTCATTCGATAAAAATGAAGGTACTTTGTAGTTTACCAATGCGGACTGTACACTGCACACTAATAATACTAAGAAAAATATTTTGATTTGGACGATAGGGTCATTGTTCGACACATAAAAATCATTTATTGAAATAAAACAAAATATTATTCAAATACTATTAAACATTTCATTGTACACAAAAATAAATAAATAAATAAATAACGGAAGTAATTAGTTGAATAAATATATTTTAAAAGTAAATGACAAAAAACAAAAAAATAATTCTCTAAACAATTAAAGGTAATAAACAAGAAATTAGATTACACACTCAAATTTAAAAGAGGTTCAATATCACATAACACTATTTATCCGATATTTTTGTGGTAATTGTTTTGAGCCCTTTTTGTGTTTCTCATACCACTGTTTCTCTTGTGTTTCATCTCTAGCCTACCCCAACCTGTTTGGGATTAAAAGGCTTTGTTGTTGTTGTTGTTAATTGAAACAAACATAAGGATCCGATTCGACATATTTTACCTAATATTTACAAAACATGCAATTTTAAAATGGCGCACGATGGTAAAAAACACAATAAAATAAATACTTATATTATGAAAATTAATAGAATCTATATATATATTGAAATAGGTTGATGAAAAAATAATTTGTGAAAAGTTGATTAAAACAATGGGTCAAAGTCTTTGACTTACTTCTTTTGGTAATTCAATTTAAATTTAATTTTTAATGGATATTGATCTTCACGTGTTTAATAAATTTGATTTGCTAATTTTAAAATAGTTATGGTATAAATTACGTATAATCTTTTGCGATGTTTCAAATTATTTACAATATGTTTTTCTATGCAAAATTTGCTTTAAATCCGGTTCCGTTGGTAGATGTATCTATTAATATTTTAAATTGTCTATAAATTAGAGTTTTGGTTGGTTGGTCGTGAACTTAGTTTGTAAATAAATCCGGCATACCATGTTTATATGAAATTTATTAGAATAATTAGTAGAAAAATTTTCTTTACAGACCGCGAAACTCTTTTTTTATATTTCTAATTTATAAGTAAAATATTATTTACAAATTATAGTCAACTAAATAATACTTAATGTATTATTTTTCCAAAAATACATTGGGCTACTATAATCAAACATACACCGAAATATACTTTTATAGAAGTTGTTTCCTTTGTAATTGTCATGCATAAAATAGCACAATTTAACAGAAATGTAATCTAGAATTTTGATTTACATATTATTTGACAAATTATAAATCCAACATCAAATTTACATACTAATAAATAACGAACTTATTTAATTA